CTTAAGGCCTCCTCCTCCATAGGAGACCTTAACCAAGCATAGGAAGAATCAAGGAGTTCAAGATCTAGGGAGGAGCTTGAAGGAAACTCAACATCAATCCGGGTTTCTCAACAAGTCTTCCATCAGTGGGGGGGGGTTTGGTTTAGTATCAAAGTTAAAACACAATAAAATGCAAAGTAGCACAGTAAGAAAAATGGATTGGCTCCTTGTTCAAATTGCAACTCTCTTATCCTTGGTTCTCAAAAGATTTCTCTGTTCATAACTTAATCCTTGTTCCATCCGAGTTAGCCAACTAAGCGAAGATTAACTCAAGATTTTGCTACACGAATTATGCAAATGTATACAACATTAAACCTCACCACAAGATTAAGCAACCTGTTACTTTGGTGTAGCAACTTGATTCATCAAGCATGCACAAGTGTTGAAAACAAACATTTTAACACAGAGGTTCAATGAAGAAGAAGAAAGTAGAACACAGATACATATAGAAATAAAACCTCAAATAGAGATTACAATCTGCTCAAGGAGCCAACCCCAAGGGTTTTAGCCTTCCATTAAAATGAAAATGCAGATACAACAAGGTAGAAGAGAAGAAAATGAAAATTTTGTATTCATTCAAGTGTAAAATATGCAGTTCAGATACAACCAGGAAAAAATGGAATGGAAGAAAAATGTGACTAGAGAGCAAAATTGAAATGGAGATACAAAATAGAGAGAAAAATGAAAAGGAATGGAGAGGAATGTAATCCCAACATGGTCACATCAAGTTACTTATTGTTAGTGGTTTCCAGGTAGCCCTAACCTAGACACCTAAGACCTAAAATGCAAATGGGCCCCCTCTGGATGTGTTTGGCCCGAAAATGAATAAAACAAGGTTAACAAAAATGTAAGCATGTTGCTGATGTGGCGTTGATGTGGCAATGTAGTGCTGACATGGCGCTGACATGGCACTTTATCTTTTAAAGTCCAAAATTAATATCCAAGCCCAAAAACGCTCCACAATTAACCTAAAAATAATTGATAAACAAAGGTTAGACCAAGTAAATCAGAATTAATTAAAATTCAAATTACTGGCCCAATGAAGCCCAAATAGTAAAACTGTACAATTAATAAGCGATTAAGCTTAAATCAACAATTAAAATAAGTACAGAAAGATAAATAAATAAGCGAAAATAATGATTCACCAGCAGACGATCAAACTCCCAGACGCAAAATGATTTTGTTAAACCAATCCTGGGCAGTTTCTGTTTAGCATTCACTAATACCATTTTACTGGACAAAAGAGAGTCTTCTTGCAAAAACATTTTTAAAATCCCTTTGTTCACACACACAAATATTCAACCCCCCCTTCTATTTTTTTTTTCATCTAACTTTAGTTTGTTTGTATGTTGATACATGTTGCATTTCATATGGTGGTGAGTTGTGAGTATTGCATAGAAAGGAATAAGAATGGTAAGAGATTGAAGGATGGGAACATAAGATAAATCTGGTCTTTCTGAGTGAATTTGAAGTTGTTTTAGAGCTCAGGGAGTTGAAATACTTCAAGGGGTAGGACATTTGAGGTGAATAGTGCTAAGGGTGAAATTTGAAAATTTTGGAAAATGGCTATATATAGGTAGGAAGTAGAGAGAGAAGCTCTAGTCTAGAGGGAAGCTGATGATACATTTGGGAAGTTTATCAAGCCAGAATCAATCTTGACAACTAGAATTTCAAGAGATTTAGCCTCTAATAGCTTGAAAAGTGAGATTGAAGTTTGAGTTGGGATTTGAGGATTTTGTTCAAATCTTTCATTTATGAGGTTTCTAAGGTAAGGGTAGTACTTATAAGACTTAATCTAGTATGTATGGATTTGAAATACCACGTTAATTCCATGTTTTATGCATGATTAAGGTTGGATTGAGTAGAGAGGGTTTGGTTGAGGTTTTTCATGATTTTCATGGATTAATTGTTAATCCTTAATTTTATTGCTTAATATGTTGTTTTTGAATGGTGTTTATACTCTATAATAGTTCGGAATCATGTAATTTGGTTTAGGATTCATGTTGGGATGGATTTGAGGGTGAAAATCAAAGTTTTCAAACTTCGGACGTGCTGTCTGATGCATGCGCACTAAGCGCACATGATGACGTGCTAAGTGAACTGAAGAACAGAGTTTTCTATCCAAAGCGCGCTGAGCGTATTTAACCATGGGTTGAGTGGATTTTGAAATAGGATGAGTGCAAAAGTCTACGTGTTGAGCGGGCAGCTTCCAGTGGCTCTCTGTCTAGAGTGCATAGACTCGTGCATGTGGTGACACACTGAGCGGGCAAAGCCTAATAGACTCCCAGTTTTGGCTACACTGAGCATAAATACCATTACGCTGGGCGAGTTGTTTCTTTGAGGAAAACCTTTTATAATTGAGTTTTTATGAAACTTTTAAATGTTTAATCATACCTCTTTTGATGTTATATATTTGGTATGGAATGTGGCATGGTTATGGGAAATATTGTATGTAATTATCAACATGTTTATGTGAGTTGGTTTGGAAAGCTAATAGGACTTAGAGGAGTAAGGTTATAGTATGGATTGAGAGATCTCATGGTGAGGATTCCAATATGGAACTTTTCCAAAGATTATATAATAAACCACTTCAGATGTTAGGTGGATTCTAAAGTACTCCTCTAAGCATTCCATCCATGTCACACACCTAACCTCTCATGGAAAATACACAATTGGATTATGTTGTCACGTAACCCTGGTGATCCTGGCCACTTCATCCATCGGTATGACTCGACCTTGCCCCCATACCGGTAGCAAATGGAATGCTTAGAGGATGTTGAAGATTCAATAGAGCTCATTCAAGAGGTATTTCAGTTAATCTCTTTCTCTCTTTTTTATTTCTTATCTATAATAAATATTTTTATAATAAAAATAATTATGTAGACATTTTAGGGTTCATTGTATAATTTAAATTTCAAGCATGTAAATAATTATTAATAAAAGGGGATTTAATATTTCTATTATTATCATTTATAATGCTAACTTCATCATAGGCTACCAATTAAGGGCGTTGTAGGGGTGTTTAATACCTTCCCTACATGTAACCGACTCCCGAACCCAATTCTGGTTATCAAGGCCATTATTAGATTTTTAAAAAAACCTTTTCTTTTTCCAATATTTTCAGTAAAACATTGGTGGCGACTCCATGAACTCATTTTTCAAAATCATTAATTAAGAATTAGTCTGGTGTCCGGGCATTCCTTAATTAATGAGACTTTTAAAAGGATGTATAAACCATTAGTCGCGAGCTCAAAAATTTTCGGGTTGCGACATAACCCAACCAAACTTAATTATATTTCATGGACTAAGTCATTAAGTTGGATTAGACATATTTGCCCTAATCCAATAATAATTGGATTGAGTAATGTATTAATAGGTTTCTCTTTCAATTAACCCAACTCAACCAACATAAATTAATATGAATATTAATATTAAAATGTTAATAACGTATTTGATTGAAACATGTATTGATCATATAATTTATACTAGTGTTTTTGTGACATATATTGGTCATATAATTTATATTTTTTTTTTCTAAATTTTTCTTTTTCTTTATTTTTTTGATTTTTTTTTCAAAATTTTAGAATATATTAATATTTTAATAAATCAACTCAATTATTCAACTCAATGCTAGAAGAAAAAATACAACTTCAAACCAATTATATTTAGTTGTGTTAAATCATAAAATTCTACCTAACTCGACTCATTTACACTCTTAATTTCACAGTTATACGAGTAGTTAAAGATTTGTACAATATATATGAGTTCATAACTTCTAACCTCTATCATCATTACTAAAAGAAATGTCAAATTTAGGAATTAAGTCCATAGATTTTGTACTATCAAGAAATGACTTAGTTGATAATATTAATATTGAAGACTGAAATTGTGAAAATTAAAAGCTATCAATATTGGTTTACACAAGTGGTGGCGACTTGTGTTTCTTAATCAAATTGTCCAAGATTTGAATCCTAATCTTTAGTATAAAATATAATATGTTAGGAAGAGAATATTTATCCTGTATATATTCACGATCTTCAACGAGATTAGTCACTGTTTTCAACGATAGATTATTATAAGAGTTAATCACCTATACACTGCCGGTGTAAAGTTTATTTACATTGGCAACTAATTATATCTTTTAATTGTGTCATGTCACTATAAACACATTTACTTTTAATAATGACATGACACAATTAAAAGATATAATTGGTTGCCAGTGTAAAATTTTTTTACATTGACAGTATATAGATGATTAACTCTTATTTTAATACCAAGATTACAAAAGAAGAAAAGAAAAAAAAGAAGTTAAATTTATCTTTATATAATTTCAAAACTAAATAATTGAAAGCTTGTAATTTTAGGAGTTAATCTAACGTGTTTAATAGTATAATTTTGTAGTAGCTGACTAAAGTGGAGACACCATTATGAAGGCTTCTAGGCTGGGTTTGCTTGATTGGAACAATGTCCTCGGGGAAGCAAACTTGAGTGCAGACGCCATGACTAACTTTAGGTCACAACCTCTCTTGAGTGTCCACGTCTTTCAACATAGCTTGCGTTTCTTGACTTTTCCTATATTTTTATGACTTAGCTAGTTTCACTTCACTCACCACATTGGAGAAATTATTATCAAGTATCTCTGTCTGGTCCTAACCAATGCCCCAAGTGGGGCCTTTAAACTTTTTTATTTTTATTTTTATTTTTTTATCAGTGTATGCAATTGTTGGGAGATTTTTTATTTATTATGTGGTAAGATACCCGGTCTTCTTAGTCCCGTGATTATAAGGTTCATCCTAAAATACAAAGGTAGACTTAATACTTCCATAATCGATTCTCTTTTGTAATAAAATAATTCTTAGTCAATTAAAATTATGTTAGCAAGTACAAATTAATTCTTAAGTTATTAGGATACTGCATATATTATGTTAATAGAAAAAAAAAATAATTATCCAATCTTAATCTTGTTTGGCTCCATATACACGTCAGAATTTAAAGAGATGCTGGTCTATCACCACTTAGACCAACCTCTTATTGTTGGCGACTTAATTCGTTAATTTCCCTGTTTTGATTCATTCAAACCAGAAAATTCTAAAGATACAATCATCCTAAAGCCAGTGGCAAGTGAATATTCAGCAGTATAGCATCAATTATATGAACTGAAAATTCAATTCCTATTTGATCATGACTCAAGACAAAGACATGATTCATTGTAGCAAGAGAAGAGAACATGTAGAATCACTTTCGTACACAAGCTCCCGATATATACTACCAAAGTGTAACAGATATCACTATTATGTTCTTGATTCTTATCACAATACAAAGTGAGATGAGCAGAACACGGAGAACAAACCAGTTATACAAGTTTTTCATCTCAACTAACTTGTGACACGGGTCATTCAGCAAATGAACCAATAATTACTCAACAGGCAAAGCGATTTTCTACAATTCAAAATCAACCCTCCATTTGTATGCCAGTTAATAGTTTGTCTGCAGTCTGCACTTCTTCAGGGAGAGGGGTCCATACACGTGCTTTTAACTGTTGCGACGACAGGCAGATGGTTGTCAGTAAAGTGATCAAATCATCAAAACAAGTACCACTTTATATCAGTAAAGAGATCAAAACAATTGACTGACAGACATTAAGAAAAATGATAGGTTTTAAACAGGTGTTTGGAGTGATTAGGTGGTCACATATCACAACCATACAAGTAATCAGGGGCACGGAGAGATAATACTGGACCACTACAATATCCGATTGCAATAAGCAAATGTTTCTTATGTTTTGATTGAATGAACTTATTATTGTAAGCAACATAAACAAAATGAGTTTTGTTGAACCATGGAGTCATCCATCCATAAATGTATACAATAAAGTCAAATAAACATCACCAATTTAAGAAGCCAGTTATGTACATATATGATAAGATGGGCACCACATTATTAAAATAAATATATACATAGACATATCCATATATAGATAGGAAGAGAAATTGAAGTGTGTACCTTAATTACTGCGAAACTGGTTTTATATTCCAACTCTAACCCAAGAGTTTTTAGAACACATAGTAGATTTGTCAATGCAGGGATCAAAGTCAATGGCAACAATACTACGATCATCTAAGTTGTAAACACGAACATCAAAGATATCCGTGAAGTAGATGCAATTCCCTTGATACCCCGTTAACTCATTAGCCTTAACAGAGAAGCTACAACTATTACCCAAAACAAACGCTCTATCTCCCAAGTTTTTCACATCAACCCATGTTCCCCACTCTTCATCCAACTTATGAACCTTGAAATACTCCACCGCAGCATCACGATTCGCAGGTCCAAGGTAGTTCCTTCTTCTGGGGGGTTCACTTTCGAAGAACCTATCAACAACATAGAGACTCCCACATGACTCCAACAAGTGCTTCTTGTTTCCAAAGCCACACAAGGGAGGGGAAAACTGCACCAACTTCAATGAAGAGGTGTCAACCCACGAAATTGTACCCCACTTGTCAGTGACATAAAACTGACCCTTGAACACAATAACATCGTCATAGAAAAAGTTCTTGTCATCCACAAGGGTCCATTTATCATCGCCATATTTCATGAACCCCAACTTCCCCTCCAAAAAGATGCAACAAGCCACAGATTCCTCAGCACCAAACCAAGGGGAATTGGGAAAAAACACAACTTTGCTCACTGCGGAAGAGAAACGACCCCTGCAGTGAATACTATATGATTTGCATAACTCATTGACCCTATAGTCCAACAAGTTCCACAACATGGGCGAACTAGTGCCATCAGGGTACATGATTTTACGATCAGATATTGGACTCAGCAAAGTCAAGGGGTGGTTCCTTGATTCCTCAACCTTGATTAACCACCCTTTGGAAGAGGGTGCCAAAGGCTCTAACTTGGAGGCACCATCACTTGGCTCAATGACATAAACCGTTGCTCGTTTGAGGAAAGTGTCTCTGGATTGGTTAATGGGGTGAGGAATTTCCATGGGAAAAGAAGGAGAATTTGGAAGAGAGGGAGGGATGGAAGATCGACATGACTCACACACACTGCGAAATCTCACAACATCTATGTGATTCTCAAGGGATTTTCCGATCTTGGGCCATAGCTCTATGGGAAGTTCAGACCAATCTACTTTACCATCCATGGCTTCGAGGTTCAAACACTTTTTTTGCCTTGTTTGTTGACTTTGCAGCGTGAAGAATTGAGCTTGGTTTGTGTCTTGATCTCTATGGAGGGGTTTTATCAAAAGGGTTTTGGTTCAAAGAGAGAAGATACGTGTAAGTTTACATGAAGGTGGGAGGCAAATGAGGGCGAAAGCATAGGGAAGAGGGAAGACCCAGAACTTCTAATTTCGTGTTGGTAAAGTTTCTCATCCTAGATTCGTGAAGAACAGTTTCGTTATTGGGACAGGTTGACTTGAAAAGTCTTTTTGATAAGAATTAAAAATAGAAGAGTCATATTCCGCATCAAAAAATAAATAAAGGGAGATACTTTCGGAGGAAATTCGTAATTGGTAGAAATTTTAGGGATAGTTTCAACATTTGCTATTCACTTTTAATTTTGGACGTAGTTTCTCCTCTGATTTTTTTTAAAATTCAAAAATAAAATAAAAATGAGATAATTGAATAAGTTTTTGTCAGTCATTATTAAAAAAAAAAAGTTTTTTTCTTAACAATTGAGGGGTATATAGTTCATTAAAAAGTGGATTAAAAAAATGGTTAAACATCATGTATCTTTTATATATTAGACCAGTAGGAAAAAAAGGTACTTGTCTCAATTATTTTTAAAAACTTAAAATAATGCAAATAAAAAAAATAATGAAGTGAGCAGTAAGTAGCTAGTAATGAAAGAGTGTAAAGAGATTATTGATTTGTTGGTGTTTAAAAAAAAATAAGAGAAAAAAATAATGAAATAGATAATTATTGAAAGCGTGTAAGGAAATTAGTGAGAAAAGACAAAAAAAATATTTTAATTTTTCTAAGAAATTAAGAGAGTTTAATGATCCAGTTGAAAGTAAAAAAAAAAAATAGTTATAAAGAATATATCCCTTTATAGATTGATATAAATATAGATATATTAAAAATATATTATCAATTGAGAATCTTAATAGTTAACGAAAAAGTGGGGACAAAAAATTATTTATAACATTAGTGAAATTTGATAATTTAAATGGTTAGAGATAATTAACTTATTTGAAGGATTATAGAAATAATTAATTTTTAATATTATTTTTTATTATTTAAAAATTTAAAGATAAAATTATCTAAACAAATGTAAAAAAAAATATTATAAGTCTTTTATATATATAAAGGACAATACTATATATTTATAAATATTTTTAGTTCCTACTATAATGTCAAAAAATTAACTATATATATTTATTAGAAGGTTTAGTAATCATCTCACATTTTAAGGCAACACCCACAACTATTTGTGATACATAACACCCCTAAATTATTTTATAAACCCTTATAAAAAAATATATTTATCTACCTTAAAATGATTTTTAATAACAAAAACAGTTTAAAAAAAACAATAAATTTAGATTTAGCGGAATGAAAAAAAATTACGCACACTAAAATTAAAATTTATTTATTTTACATTAAAAAAAAATTTAAGCCTTAATATAATCAAAATGTATTTAGAACAATATAATTAAAATTAGCTAGGTAAGCTACAATAAAGTTTGAGAAAAATATTTATCGTACTAACAACATAAAATTTTTAACTCGGTCAAATTATAATGTTAATTATCTAAGTCCAAAAATTCATCAAGTAGACTTGACTTCAATAATAAAGAAAAATATTATTTTAATACATCAACTTCTATAGATGTGCATGCTTTTCTATGGCCAGTAGTTAAGCCTAGGTTTATACTTCATATATAGATTTTGTATAGAATAATATTTTAGACATTATAATAATATTTTATATGTATAGAATAATATAGATTTTAACTTCTATATATGTATATCTAAGTCGAATTATCCTCGTCATACAACGCATCTCTCTAATAATCAATTAAGGATTTAGTCCTTGATTTTATACCTTCAATTTTAACTAAGGATCAAGAGGAGACTCAAAAATTTACTCTAAGAGATAAAGTTTACTTAAGGAGGATTTTTCAACAACTAGTGCAACATTCCAATTTTCATAAATTAATTAAAGTATATTTTAATAATTATTTTGATGCTTTTAAAATTAATTATAATATATATTTAATAATTATTTAATTATTTTTTAATTATTATTATTTTAATATAATTTTGTTTTAATATAAAACATGATTTTATTCAAATTTAACAGTATGATTAAGATTTGATTTCATGAAATGTATTTAATTAAGAATATATGTTATGTTTAATTAAAAAGGGAGAATGATGCTTATTTATTTTAATTATTTTATAAAAGGGTGAAAAGAAGGTTTTAATCGTCTTTTTGTTTAATTACTAATATTTTAAGTAAAAGTTATAAGAAGCTTTACGTATTTTTTTTTTTGTCTTATGCTTTGCTCTATGCTTCTTGTGGTTTGAAGGCTTAGGAGAACAAAGGAAAAAAGGAAACCAAGATTCTACTTGTCAGAATCCAAAAAATTCTGATCTTTTCATAAATGGTTTGGATTTCCGTTTAGAAAATCTCATTGACTAGCGAATGCCCGGAAACCAGACTAATCCTTAATCAATGATTTTAGAAAAGTGTTCGAAGGAGTCGCCACCAATGTTTTACTCAAAACATCGAAAAAATAAAAGATTTTTAAAATTACAAAAATGACCCTCATAGTCAGAATTGGTTTCAGGGGTCGATTAAGGTATTAGGCACCCTACAATGCCCTATATCAGTACCCTATGATGGAATTAGTGAGATAGAGAACAAAAGTTAAAATATTTGGTCCCCTTTATTAATGGTCATTTACATGCTTAATTTTAAAATTACACGATCGAACCTAAGACTTCTACATGGTCGCTTTTATTTGTGACAATGTTTATGACAGAAATAATAGATGATAGAGAAGGAATTTGATGGGAATAACTCTTGAAAAGGCTTTTATAAAATATAATTCCAATATGGTGGACTTGAGACGCTTTTTTGCTACCTTATACACTACAATTTACCTCACAAATCTCAAGAAATACAAAGAGGGGGAGAAAAAGAATATTTCAAGCTATATAGGACTCTAGTAAGCCATTTTTTCCTCTCGAACACTATACATGAGTCTCATATTTATAGACGTTAGACTTAACTAGAATGGACGTTCTGATCATCAAAACGGGTCATTCCAAATTAGTTTGTTATAAACAATTTTTGAATTTGGAATGGTCCATTTCCGAAATCGAAACGGTTCGTTCTGCTTTTGAAGTTACCTCATAACAACCTGGGTCAAAACGGCCCGTTCCGAAATGGGAATGCCCCATTTTGACGTAGGGTTTCGAGGCCATTTTAGAAGCTTAGACGACTCGTTCCGAATTGGGAATGGCCTATTCCAAATTGGGAATAGCCCATTCTAGGCTCCTAATTGATCCTCTTTGGGTCTTTGGGCCTTCTAATGTCATCCTAGTCTATTCAAATGTCAATGAGCCATTCTAATGTCACATTAGTCCGTTCTAACATCATATTCGGGACAACTCCTCTACCTTGTACTAAAGGCCTATTTTCTTGTTTGCATGTCCCAAATGAAATTAGATGTCTACAAACGCCCCTCTTTACTTGTTCTTTGGATAGCTATGTGTTGCTTTACCAAAGGCAAGTAAAGACATAGACATTTTGTCCAGGTCTTCTCTTTTGCTTCACAGTGTAGGTGCTTCCACATTGTTTCCTTCAGGTAGATGGGTTTACCTATATCCTTGCCCTTTAGAGCAACTAAATATCAAGTTGCGTGTTTCGTTGGATGACAAGGATGGTAAACTATGTCATCTAGACTTTCAGCTTGGTGTAGATGCTCCATGTTGATGCCCCTAGTCGTTTATTCGGTGATGGCATGATTGAGGCTTTATTCCTAGCTGATTGAGGAATGCGTATATTCTAAGCTTAGCCTCTCTAGGCTGGACTGACATTAAGGCTTCAACCGACCTTTTTCAAGTGTTTCTTGGCACAACCTTTCCATGTTGTACTGGTTTTAAGGGTCTAGCCAACCTTTTCTGAGTCGTTGTTGAGTATTCTTTGCTAGCCTCTCCAGGCCTGAGGTGAGTATTCTTTGTTATCCTCTCTAGGTTAGGGGTGAGTATGCTTTGCTAGCCTTTCCAAGTGCGGAATGAGTATTCTTTACTAACCTCTCCAAGCTAGGGGTGAGTATTCTTTGCTAGCATCTCCAGGCTAGTGAGTCGGTAATTCATCTTTTGTGCCCCAATGTTGGTGGGCAAAGGATCATCTTCTTTGTAGGATGATTGTAACTATTTGGTGTGTATTCTCTACAACCTCTCTAGGCCGGTGAGTATTCTCTACAGCCCCTCCAGGATGGTGAGTATTCTTTACAGCCTCTCTAGGTCGATGAGTATTCTTTATAGCCTATCCAGGTCAGTGAGTATTCTCTATAACCTCTCCAGGCTAATGAATATTCTTTGCAGCCTCTTTAAGCCAGAGAGTATTCTCTATAACCTCTCCAGGTCAGAGATGAGTAGATGTCAACGCCTTTTATGAAGGTGGATGTAGTAACCTTTGGCAGGATCATGCTCTAGTGATCTTGGTGTCATTCTTTGATTTGAGGAACTCGATCGTGTCCTCCAATTGATGTCTGTAGAGTGCCCCTGGGGTTGACGAGTAAGGGATGTCTAAAAAGCCCCCGTTTTGGGCTGAGATTAGCAGGATGTTGGTGACGTCCTACTAGGTGAGTATTGTGATGTCTCTCCAGGTGTCTTTTATTACGGAATAGATAGATGGTAGAGACTCTAGTGTTGCCTCTACCATGTGAGTACTGTGATGCCTTTCTAGACGTTTGTATTAGGGATTGTACTATCCGTACCGCTATGCCGAGCTCGAGCTCGGTACCGCAGCACAGAATGACCTCGGATGCACGTTGCACGGCGTCAGCTCGACACTTAAGTAGATCATAACCGATCTCAGGAGATCTCGGTCTAGACAAGACCCATTATCTAATCAGATCATAACGGATCTCAGGCCCAAGGCCCAACGCAACCCTAACTCACACCAAGGTACGTGCATTACATATACAAAACTCACACTCATACAAACCCTAACTTTAGCATCGGAGTCTCTTTTGCAGGTACCACCCCCATCTTGGAGCACCAGCGTACCAGTGAAGGAGGCTCACCAATCTTACTTGGAGGATCGTCTCTACAAAAAATACCAAGTAAGAACATTTGGCACCCACCGTGGGGCCGATCAAGACAGCTCTTATCGGCCACGCTTATGGTATTCACCAGAAGCCATAGTAGGCGCGCAACAGATGACGCAGATCACACAACCACCATG